TTAACTCACTGTACCATAAAGATGCTCCCCCCTCCTCTAAAATCCAAACTCTATCCCTCCCAGTCCTTCTGCCTCTAGTTAATAAACACTGTATTTACTAAAAACATGTTTTAGCATCCATATATGAGGAAGAACATGAGGTGTTTGTTTTCCTGTGTCCGACTTATTTCCTGTAAGAGATGTCCTCTGGTTCCATCCATTTTGCTGTATGTTAATCTCCTACCCTGCAACTTTGCTGAATTCATTTCCTAGTTCTAGTAGCTTCCTTGTGGACTTCTCAGGAATTTGTAGAATATGAACACGTCATCTGTGAATGGTTTCACTTCAGAACTTCCAGTATTATGTTAAATAGCAGCACTGAAAACATCCTTGCCTTGACTATCCTCATCTAAGAGGGAAAACCTTCCGTCTTTTACCAATATGATGCTAGCTGTCTTTTATAAATGTTGAAGACACACCTTTTGTTTCTGGTACACTGAGGGTTTTTACCACGAAAGTATGTTAGAATGTCTTTTCTGAATCCATTGAGATAATCATGTTTTATCCCCTTTGTTCTGTGAATATATTACATTTTCTTAGGTTAAGCTACTCTAACTCCTAGGGGTAATGCCAGTTTTTAAAATTTTGGTCATTTTAGTTGGTGTGTAGCAATGTCTCATCAATATGTATTTTCTTGATGACTACTGATACCCGATACTTGGCATATTCTCACGTGGTCATTATCCATCAGTCTATTTTCTTTTGTAAAGGGTGCCAGAGTTTTTAAATTAACTCATCATAATATTGAGTTGTATGACATTTCTATACTCTAGAGCGAATAGTTTCTCCCAAACTTCAGCTTGCCTTCTCATTTTCCAAACCATGTCATTTAAAAAGCGGCTTTTGGCCGGCACCTCGGCTCACTAGGCTAATCCTCCGCCTTGCGGCGCCGGCACACTGGATTCTTCTAGTCCCGGTCAGGGCGCCGGATTCTGTCCCGGTTGCCCCTCTTCCAGGCCAGCTCTCTGCTGTGGCCAGGGAGTGCAGTGGAGGATGGCCCAAATGCTTGGGCCCTGCACCCTATGGGAGACCAGGAGAAGCACCTGGCTCCTGCCATCGGATCAGCGCGGTGTGCCGGCCGCAGCGCGCCGGCCGCGGCAGCCATTGGAGGGTGAACCAACGGCAAAGGAAGACCTTTCTCTCTGTCTCCTCTCCACTGGTCCACCCCTGCCTGTCAAAAAAAAAAAAAAAAAAAAAAAAAGCGGCTTTTGATGGTTTGTGTGTTTTGAGTTTTAAGAAATCTTGACTTACCAGAGGCTACAAAGATTTTCTCTTATTTTCTAGTTGTTTTTTACATTTAGATCCATTCATTTCAAGCTCATTTTTGTGTCTATGTTCTTCTCCCCTCCCCCAAAGGGATATATGATTTCCCCACATTTGTTAAAAATACTTCCCATTCCCCCACTGAATTGCCTTAGCACCTTTGTAGGTCCCTGAAGCATACATGCAGGTCTATTTTGGGACTGTCCCTTCGCTACCCCAAGGTTTGACTACTGTATCAGTAAGCCTTGTATTTAGGAAGTGTAGTCTTGATTTGTCTAAATTCATGACTGTCAGGCAAGCACTCATCTCATCTAATTAATTAGCCTGTCAGTTTCCAAGAACACACTGGAATTTTGATCAGTTTGGAGAGAACATCCCAATAACACCGAGTCTTCTAATCCAACAGCAGAGTTTGTCTCCATTTATTTAAGGTCTTCTTTTCTTTCAGCTTGTTATACAGATTTCAGCGTATATGTTCTGCACATATTTTGACAAATTTGTATTTGTTTTTGATGCTATTACAAATCAAATTAATTTTTCAGTATTTATGAATTTTAAAATTTCCAACATGCAGAAATACTATGGATATTCTTGTGTGCTGATCTTGCATCCTGTGCCATCTTTTTAAAAATATTTATTTATTTACTTGAAAGAAGGAGTTATAGGGAGGCAGAGGCAGAGGCAGAGAGAGATCTTCCATCTGCTTCTGCTGGTTCACTTCTCAAATGGACACAACAGCTGGAGCTGGCCCAATTGGAAATCAGGAGCTTCTTCTGGGTCTCCCATGTAGGTGCAGGGGTTCAAGGATGTGGGTCATCTTCCACTGCTTTCCCAGGCCATAGCAGAGAGCTGGATAAGAAGTGGTGCAGCCTGGTCGTGAACTGGTGCCCATATGGGATGCCAGTGCCTCAGGCGGCAGCTTTACCACAGTGCTGGCTCTGATCCTGTGCCCTTTCTAATCTTATTTATTCTAGTACTGTTTTGTAGATCCCTTAGGCCTCTCTGTATAATCGTGTCTAATTGGGATGCCTTTCTTTCTCTTCTACAGCACCTCCAGTACAATGTTGAGTAGAAGTCACCCTTGCCTTGTTCCTGATCTTAGGAAGAAAAGCATTTAGTCTTTCTCCATTGAATGTTTAATATCAGCTGCTGCTTTTTCATAAATGGCCTTTATCAAAAGTTGGGGAAGATCACTTCCAGCTCCAGTTTGCTGAGTACTTACTTTGAATGTGTATGAATTTTATGCATTTGCCATGATTGTGACGAACTTTTTTTCAGCTTGCTAAACTTGTGTATCACACTGCATGATTTTCGAATATTAAACCAACATTGTATTATTGGGATAAATCTCATCTAATCATGATAGTATACGCTATCCTTTTTATAAACTTTCAGGTTTGATCTACTATTTTGTTAAGGATTTTTGTGTCTAAGTTTATGAGTGATACTAGCCTTACCTTCTTTTTGTTGTCCTTGGTTTTGGCATCAAAATAAAATAGGCTGGGGCTAGCACTCTGGTGCAGCAGGTTAAAGCCCGGCCTGCAGCACTAGCATCCCAACTGGGTGCTAGTTCAAGTCCCGGCTGCTCCACTTCTGATCCAGCTCCTTGTTAATGCGCCTGGGAAAGCAATGGAGGATGGCCCCAGTCCTTGGGCCCCTGCACCCATGTGGCAGACCTGCAAGAAGTTCCTGTCTCCTAGATTTGGATCAGCTCAGCTCTGGCCATTTTGGCCATTTGTGGAGTGAACCAGCAGATGGAAGATCTTTCTCTCTCTCTCTGTCTTTACCTCTTCCTGTAGCTCTGTCTTTCAAATAAATAAAATAAATCTTTAAAAAATAAAGTAAAATAAAACAGGCTAAGGATCTGTAATTTGAAAACATGGAATACAAAATGCTCCAAAATCTAAAATTTTTGAGCATCAGATTAGGAATGCTCAACCAGTAACATCTATGCAAATATTCCAAAATCCAAAACAGTCCCTTCAAAATCTGATAAGCTCCTAGTGACCAGGCACTCTGAATAAGGGACATTCAACCTGCACTAATCTGATAAAATGAAATGGCATATTTTCTTACCTAAATGACTGATAGAATATACTAGTAAATTCAGGAATTTTCTTTGTGAGATGAGAAGGTTTTCAATTTAGACTTCACAATTTTTTAAAAAATTTATTTTCACTTCATTTGAAAGGCAGAGAGATGGAGAGAGAATTCCACTCCATTGGTTTACTCCCCAAATGGTCCCAATGGCCGGGGCTGGCTCAGGACAAAGTCAGGAGCCCAGAACTCAATCTGGGTCTTTGATGTGGGTGACTGGAATCCAAGTACTAGAGCCATCATCTGCTAACTCCAGGGTACACATTAGCAGGAAACTAGAATGGAAGCAGAGGAGCCTGGACTTGAACCCAGGTGCTTCAACATGTGGTGCAGGCATCCCAAACGGAATCTTAACTACTGTGCCACATGCCTGCCCCTTAATTCAGACTTTCAAGTTTGAAGATGGCTCTTAGAGAGACACTTTCCACTGCTGGGAAACCTGGGGACGACTAATAGCACAAGTGTTAGCTAAAAGTGAAAAGTGGTAATTCCCAGCTAGTAATTACAAACCTCAGGCTATGAGGAAAGACAGCTGTCAAGATGCCAATCAACTTGCTAGGGCTTGACAAGTCAGGAAAGAATGAATTCAATTTTCTACCCCCATGAATAGCATGCTTCCTGGTTTCCTCTTTCAAATTTTCTCTTCACAAATATATTTCCCTCAGCAAGTGCCAATTCTTTAGGCTGGTATCACTTCCTGTTTCTGGTGCCCCAGCACTCACTCTCCTCACCAAGGAGGAGAGATGTTCATAGTTACTGCATCTCTTCTCTCAGTACCTTAAACCCAGGGAGATTTAAATAGTACAGGAAATTTTTAATTCACTGTAGTTTTCAGAGGGCTGGTACTTGAAACTCAACAAATATTTCCCTATGAGGTTTCTAAAACTGCAGATTGCACTAGAATTTGTGCCATAAATCCTAGAATCACTCTTATTCTTCTTGATGACAGAGGGAACATGATAAAATGTAACCAAAGTGGGAGTTGTAAGACCTGTCCTTGAGGGATATGTGTTTACTGATCTAAGCAGCAGACGCGTTAACGTGGAATGCCACAGGTACTTCATAAGGTAGTGCGTAAGACTGAATTAATATTCACTGAACCTAAAGAAACCAACAAAAAGATAAAAATGCAGTCTCTGGATTGGGGGAATGTGCCACAAGGCCAGCTTCAGCAAAACAAGTTAGCAGATAACGAACCTTCGCACTTCTCCTACCTTCCCTCTTTTTCTCCATCCCTGCCACTCTCGTGCCACAACCTCTCACCACGCCGGCAAGATACACTTCACAGTTGTCCTTTCAAAATAAGGCTCACCTTCAAATCTCATTCTTCCCACTTCTAATACACAGCTCAACGAAGTAAGTCTCCCTGAGGATTTCGATTTTTCAGTCTAAAAGAACAAACTTTCAGAGTGATTTTCAGCTACTATGTCAGGCTGATGAGGGAGATATTTCAGTAGAGGAGCCTTTATGTAGGGACCTCCTAGACTTCCCAAAGTAGACGTCTCTCTCTTGGTAGGGCCAGAGCAGCTTCTGACATTATGCTACTTTTAAGTAGTTTTTCTCAGCACCCATGGGGTTTCAAATAAACTCTCTGAGACATATTTGTTGGTGTAAATTTTAAATCACAAGCTTGATTTGATACCCTCAAATACAGTTCTTAAGGAAGATTGGTTACAGAGAGTTGTGGATATTTTCCAATGACAGTAGAAATTACATTTTAGTAAAGTTGGATGAATTTTTTCATGTGTGTAGCTAACAATTCTGTCACCATCAGGTGGAATTACTCCAACTCATGCGATAAATGACTGTTACATCTTTAAAAGCTGACTTAATTTTTCTAGTTGAGACTTCATGCCTATTTTAGGTCAAGATACCAGTGTGCTCCTGTGCTCACCTCACCGTCCCTGGGAAGTGGTGAGGACATATCACAGTTTCTCCGAGACTGATTACCAAAGCATTATCTTACTTTTTTCATTTTGGTGTGAAGGATCCCAGGAAATCTTGGGTTTCAGAAGTGGCCCTGGTGACCCATTGGCAAATATAACAACCATATATAGGACTCTGAGAGGGACCTGACAGAGGTGAACAGGAGGGACAAGATAAACTTATCTTGACACAAAATTGGCAGATAAGCATCACCAAATTTCTGTAACTAGGAAGTATGAGGGTCAAACAGAAGATGCTGGCTATGACTACACTAGACCCTGTGGATGGCTTGTACAGAGCCACTTAAAATAGTACCGTTGAACATTTTACATAATTTACATACAATTTGAATATAAATTCTTAAAATTCATAATAGAACATTAAAATAATCTTCTAATAAAATCAGCCTTAGGCATAAGGAATCTAAATTTCAGTATCTTGTACACTTCTAAATAAATAGCTTTGATCTATAACCCTTGAAAATATTACAGTTTATAGTGACATGATAGACAAATCAAACAGTAATATAAAGTGAAAATGAAACATCCATTTAAAAATAAACAAGCCTAAAAACACACCAATCTGAATGAGAGAAAATCAAAATACTAAGAACACAGTAATTAAATATCTAACATTGGGATAAGCAAACCCATGCTCTGCAACATACTTTCAACTTACATAAAAAGCCCTTTAAAATTCATACAACCTAAATAAATAAGCAAAAACACAAAAGGAGGTACTGAACCAGCCAGTAATAACTAGGAAGTAATTTCCCCCTTTTTCTTCTAAATGATCCTAAAAGAAAAACAGGAAATCATAATCACCTGGCTAAAAAACTATAATTCATGTTTGTTTTAAAATGCTGTGTAGGATATAAAAAGTCAAAGCAAGGAAGGCTTCCTAAACGTGGGACCAGTGTATCTGCAATAAGGAAAGGCCGCCTAATTGACAGATTTAAACACAAATGACAATTTGCCTACTAAAGTATGACTGAATTTTCACTTAATGACCCCACAACAGAGTAAATCAAGCCCGTGATATGATTGTACATTCAAGCACTTGAATGTATGATATCCTAATACTGATTTATACATGGTGACTTAATTTCACTTGCTGAAGTACTGGTTTTCCTTATGTAAGACCAGAATTAAAGCATCAGTAGCAGGAACTCCATCTTATTTATATTCGTATCTGGGTCTTGGACTCTCAGAGTGTGACAGGTGCCCGATGAGCATCTGCTGCAGTGAGCGGAGTCCAGCACTCATCATTTCAGCACTGAGTCCATGACGAGGCGGCTGCCTGAGACTCCGGGGGTGGGGGTAGGGGGTTCTTCAATTTTGCCTCCATGCCTGTGATTAATTTCTGTCTACTTAATCATGTTAAACTGACACATATCTGTCACAGTTTCTCACTTCAGGGCCAAGATTTCTACAGTTCATCTAGTCCATGGTTAAGCCTTCTTCATAGATTTGTGCCTGCACATCATAGTCAAGATAAAAGAATAAAGATAATCTGTTACTCTATGTCTGATATTTGCTCATGATAACTGCCTGAAACATACACACACACACCCAACAATTTCACAAGTGGAAAACAGGATCTGAAAATAATGCAAAAAAATCCTAAATTACATAGCTCCCAAGGTTAACTAAAAAATGACCTTGAAATTCTTAAGGTAATTTGAGTACACAAACTTATTACATGATGACTGGAAGCAATGTCTATGGACCAACAAATGTAAACCCAAATTATCCTTTAACCATTAGCCTGACAAGATAGCTAAAAAAACAGTGTGGTTGTACAGACTGTCCTGCACAACTCTGCTCAGTGTACCTCCCACACTGGGAGGCAGGGAAGAGGAGCTGGGGAAGCTCCCCCGAGATCTTTCCTTCCACCCACTCTGCTTAGACTGATTTCTGCCTCATTATATGGATGACTGTAACATGGTTCATCTGGATGGCCATTTAGAGTCACTGTTTCTGACATCCTTGGCTCCTTACTGGGGGGACAGGGGGAAGGTTACAGAACTCCTGAAATAAAAGAGATTTAGAAAGTTTCACATCTTTCATTCTCACTGCCAGCATGCTTGTCCCTCTTGAATGCTGCTAGGAGAGGTAGATCCAGTGTTTAAGTTCTGCCATTCCCTGCAGTAACTTAGTGTAATAGAAGTCCATGTTGTCTGCAAAGTCTGTACAAACAGGTGACTCCATGTCACCGAAAGTGCAGTATAATGCAGTGCCTCCAACACTAAGGAAAACCGTTGCTATGCACAGCAAGATCAGTAAAATACAGGATCCACTTCCAACTTCATCTGCAAACATGAGAACAGACAGAGGTTAAATTGTCATCAAAATGGAAATCCTAGTGTCTGCTATCTTCTCACTGATTTGGCAGTATCAATTAGAAAGGTAAATAAATTTTCCTGGGGTAGGTGTTTAGCCCAGTAGCTAAGACACCCATGCCCCACATTGTGCTACCTGGGTTTGATAACTGGCCCTGGCTTCTGGCTCCAGCTTCCTGCTAACACAGACTCAGGAAGGCAGTGGTAATGGCTTAATTCGGTCCTTCCACCCAGATGGGAGATCTGGACTGGTTCCTGGCTTCAGCTAGGCTAGGGGCTATTGTGAGCATGTGGGGAGTGAATTGGCAGATGAGAACTCTGTCTCTCAGATACGTAAGTAACAAATTTTAAATAAAAAATAATAAATAAATTAATTTATCCTCCAGACTGGATAACTCTGAGAGTGAAAGGAAGTGTTACTGGAATGCAATACTGGACAACAGTGTAAACCAGGACTGCCTCAGGCCAACTGGGACATACAGATCCAACTTTTAGTTCAGCAAACCCACCTTCAGGAATCACCACCCAGATTTGTACAATATGCAATATAACATATACGAGGGTGGTCACTGTAGTAGAGTTTGCTGTAACAAAATGTGTGGAATAACTTAGTTATTCTTGTTGAAATAGAATAGTTTAATTACAGTCTAACTAATCAATAACATCAGTTAATTGATGTGATCAATTATATTTACATTATATGATCATATAATTTGCATTATATAATTACATATTATATAATTATAATATATAATTACATTATAATTTACATTATATAATTATATAATTAATTAAATACATGTATATAGAATATGTCTTTTTAAAAAAATATTTATTTATTTGAAGGGGAGAGTGAAACATACACAGAGGAAGAAAGGGAGAGGGAGACACATAGAGGGAGAGAGAAATCTTCCCCCTGCTCCTCCACTTCCCAAATGGCTGCAATAGGAGGGGTTGGGCCAGGCCAAAGGCAGGAGCCAGGAACTCCATCCAGGTCTCCCACAATTGTTGAAGGGGCCCAAGTACTTGGGGCATTTTCTGCTGCCATCCTAGGCACATAAGCAGGGAGTTGTATCAGAAGTGGAGCAGCCAGGACTCTGAACTGGCACTCCAATATGGATGCTGGCACTGCAGGTGGCAGCTTAGCTACCCTGGTACCCAGAATATTTCTTGAGAGAATAAGAAACTTCAACCATCACTTGGGGTAAAGGGATTGGGAAGGTTGAAGGACTTTTATTTTACTATTGTCTGAATTTTTTCTTGATTAGTATATTACTTTTTGATAAAAAACAAATTTTTATAAAGATCTGGAAAACCCACTGTAATTCATAAATATATTCTCCCACTTAAACATTTAAGTATCTAAGAGTCTAAGAGACTGCCCTTTTTTCTCCTACCCAGTCATATTCCTCTCCCACCCCAGAGGTAGACATCGGTAAATTTGGTGTGTATCCTTCCAGATCAAATACACTGTACAAATAGGATTATATAATCATGTTGATCTGTGATTCACATTTTAAATAGTTTATGCCCACACGAAAGCATTTCTATAGAAATCAATGTGATCATATTATTCATGCTGTGTTTTGTGGGTTTTTGTTTCTATGTTTTTTTTTGAAAGGCAGAGAGGAAGAGAAAACAGGATAGACAGCAGAGGCTGAACCAGGCCAAAGACAGGAGCCAGGAATCCAATATAGGTCTCCCATACAGGAGGGACTCAAGTAGCTGAGCGATAATACTCTGCCTTTCAGGAAATACAGTAGCAGGAAGCTGGCTTGGAAGAAAAACCTGGACTTGAACCAGGCATTCTGATATGGCATGCGAGCACAAGCAGTGTCTTTTTATTTTAAGATTTATTTAGGGGCTGGCACTGGGGTGTAGTGGGTAAAGCCACCGCCTGTTGTGCCAGCATCTCATATGGGGACCAGTTTGAGTCCCAGCTGCTCCACTTCCAATCCAGCTCCCTGCTAATGTGCCTGGGCAAGTAGCACCCACATGGAAGACCTGGAAGAGGCTCCTGGCTCTGGATAGGTCCAGCTCTGACCATTATGGCCATTTGGGGAGTGAACCAGTGTATACAAGATCTCCGTCTGCCTCTCTCTCTGTAACTCTACCTTTCAAACAAAGAAAAAAGTAAAGGATATTAAAAGAAGAGAGATTTATTTAAGTTACTTGAAAGGCAGAGTGACAAAGCATGGGGAGAGAGAGAGAGAGAAAAAGAGAGAGATCTTCTACCTGCTGATTCACTCAAATGGCTGCGATGACTGGGGCTGCTAAAACCAGGTGTGGGCCAGGTGAAAGCCAGGAGCCAGGAACTCCCTCCTCGTCTCCCACATGGGTAGAAGGGACCCAAGTACATGAGCCATCTCCTGCAGCCTTCCTTGGCAAATCAGCAGGAAGCTAGATCAGAAGCAGAGCAGCCAGGACTCAAACAAGCTTTCTGACATAGCATATTGGCATCGCAAGTGATGGCTTAACACACTATGCCACAATGCCAGTTCCCTCTTCGTTTCTTTAATTATTGATTTATTTAATTTCATTTTATTTGAAAGGCAGTGTCAGCAAGAAAAAGATCTTCTGTAAAACATCTTATAAGTAACTTTTTCATACTGAAATAATTTTTGATATACTAGGTTAAATAAAGCATATTATTAAAATTCATTTGGCCTATTTCATTTTACTATTATAACATAGCCTTAAAAAATTTAATAGCTACATAGCTGATGCTGTGGTGCAGCAAGTTGTCATGGCCTGTGGTGCTGGCTTCCCATTTAGGCACTGGTTCGAGTCCCAGCTGCTCCACTTTTGATTCAGCTCCTTACTAATGCTCCTGGGAGAGCAGTGAAGGATGGCCTCAGAGCTTAGGCCCCTGCACCCACATGGGAGACCCTGAGGAAGCTCCTAGCTCTTGGATTCTGCCCAGTCCAGTTCTTGTTTTGGCCATTTAGGGAGTGAACCAGCAGATGGAAGACCTCTCTCTCTGTCCCTCTCTCTCTGTAACTCTGCCTCTCAAATAAATAAATCTTTTTCAAAAAAATGTAATATTCCCCCACTACCAATACTGTATATTCCTAAAGGTACACTGGGAACAGGAGAAAAATATGTTTTTTCAACCATTTGATAAATATATATTTATGTGGTTTTTTATTACTTTCTTCCCCAGGAAGTCAGAGAACTCCTTGAAGATAGAAGAGTATCTGTTTTGCACACAATTATGTCACTATTACCTGGTATTTAATCAGCCAAAAAAAAAGTTATAATAATAATAATAATATTTGTCAGGCAAAACTGGCCCTTTTCGGAAGGTTTTGACAAAAACCTTCTTTCATTAACCTTGAGGTTAATGAAAATACCATGCGAGCCAGAGTTTAGGGATAAAACACTGCAATCACCAATCATTTGCATAAAGTTCTATAATTCTCAAAACCAATCTGTACACACAGTCTGACCTGTTTTTCAGCCCCTACGGGGGCAGACAACAGATGTCACTCTTTCAGGGTGACAAAACTGAGTCTCTCACAGGTTAACTGGTTTGAGCCAAAGCAAGAAGACTAAGGAGTGAAAAAGGGACTCTAAGTTCCAAATGCAGAGTTCCTCCTACTGAGCAGTGACTGGTGCGAATCAGGACAAACCCCTGAACACTTTATCTGAGTAAGATTGTGACAGGTGTAGGCAAGGTGCAGAGGCAGAATGAGGGGTCAGAAACAGACAACTTCCAAAACCCCTCTCAGTTTTAAAACTGTAAACACTCAGAAACCTCCACTGCTATTTCTTTTGTCACACTTTGGAAGCATAGTTAAAGGTGTCCACTGTTATTTAACCATGTAGCTGTTTCCAAACCCGATAAGCATACTGTGAGGAACCTGGTTGTATTTCCACTTTTCCTTATTTACTTAGGCCTTAGGTCAGCCTATTTGCAACCACAAAGGGCAGCACTGTTTGCCACAGCAACCACCTTTAGTACAGGCCCGGGAGGGGAAAGTCAAACAGCAGCGACAGGGTTAGGTTGCTGTTCCTGACAGCCCCAAGAAAAAAAATCAGCAGAGGAAACACACTTACAAGTCATAACTGCTTTCCACAATAAAAGAGAAATGGTAATTGGCCATTGAAAAGAAGACAAAAATAGCAGCCTCATTTAAAAAAAAAGTCCTCTCAACACTAGAGGCCATGAGTTGATTTTGCAACTTGCTCACTTATTTGAGCAAACTAATTGCTTAGAGAGAACTGGAGATAATAGTTTGTGTATGTTGCTCTCTTAGAAGGTGAAGAGGCTAAGGTTTACATATTCTGCCACAAACCCTATTAGCAAACATCCTATCACTCACGAATTCATTCTCGCAGCAAACACTGACCACTGGCTGTGCTGGACATAGTGCTGAGCGGTTTACCTTGATCCAAGTTATCGTCTATTTCTTGAAATCTCACTCTTCGCTTGGATGACTTCTGCATCTGGGCAGAAGGATCCCCTACAGAATCATTCCTCTTCTTTAATATAGAGACCAGGCCTTCAGTGGGGACAACCTAGAAGAGACCACAAGAACCACGTGTTATGGTAAAGTGGGACACACCACTATTTCATGTATCACTGTAAAAAGGCTAAGTCAACAGATATTTGAAATTTTATTATAGGCGTATTCGATTCCTACAGAATGAAAATCATACTCAACAAAATCTGACAGAAGAAAACTTTCACTTCTATGCAGAGGACTGAAAACACACAGGTATAAATTCCTGACTTCTTTTCTTAACCCCGAACTGACTTTGGGGCTAGATAGCCTGAATGGTATGCAGTAGACTGGGAATCAGGAAACCTCCTTTAACCACCTTCCTTCGTAGCGTAACTTCCATGTTATTTATTAATCAGTGGCATGGGGTCTTGCTTTATAATGAGGGTTTATAATCCACCACTGTTGCTTCTTTTTTTTTTTCATTCATCAGCAATTTTACAGAAATGAACATATGTTCTACTGCTCAAAATATTTCCTGACTTCCCTTTCAGAATTTCTCTCAAAGCCAGGTCATGAGGGACACCTTGCTTTGTAATATGCAGAGGTTGGCAAACTACGGCCAGCAGGCTGATGCTCATTTTTGTAAATAAAATTTAATTGAACACAGCAGGGCCCATTCCTCTACATACTATGTATGGCAGCTTTGGGGTTATAATGGCAGAACTCAGTAAACAAACCATAAAGCTTAAAATATTGGCAATTGGACCCTTCACAGAAAAAGTTTGTTGTGTAGCACCTCTTCAGCCCCCCACTGCTACCCCTTTCTGTTGTCTTATAGTTTTCACTTGGGCCATATTTTTTTTTTTGTCTATGCCCTACTCCTTATTTACCAAAAAATAAAAAAATAAATAAATAAAAACCAAAAAAACCCAAAGCCCTTGCCATTTAGGCTCCAAGGTGCAGAGAGAAGAGGAGAGGATCAGTTAGAAGAGCTTAGCTGGCAAGCAGGAGGCGTAGTCACAGAAATCAACTTGTAAGTTGCTACTTGCTACAGGCTGCAGGTGATGACACAGGTGGGCATTGTGGGCCTAACACTGTGGATGTCAGTGACTTGCTGGCATCAGATCACTGTAAGCTGGGGACTGCCTGTAATTTCATTTACCTGATCAATAGCAGAAAATGTTTTTTTTAAGTTTGCAATTTGATTTTTTTTAAAGATTTTTATTTATTGTATTTACAGAGGAGAGAGAGAGAGACAAAGAGATCAACTGATCTTCCATTTACTGGTTCACTCCCTAAATGGCCACAGTGGCTGGATCTGGGCCAGACCAAAGCCAGGAACCAGGAGCTTCTTCTGGGTTTCCCACAAGGATGCAGGGGACCAATCACTTGGACCATTTTCCGCTGCTTTGTCAGGCCCATGAGCAGGGAGCTGGATAGGAAATGGAGCAGCTGGGAATCAAACCGGCACCATATGGGATGCTGGCGTCACAGGCGGCAGCTTAACCCACTGTGCCACAGCGCTGGCCCCAGAAAATCTTTCATGTGATTTCTAGTTCCAGCCAGAAATCTGATAATGTGTTATGCATAAATATGAGAGAGATGCTATTAGTTCTTTTTATGACTCTGGGCTTTTAGGGCCAAATAGCCAAAGACAATCTTCTACTGGGCTTTTGTGAACATGAGTCTACAGAAACCATTATATCAAAAAAAATCAATAAGACGGTAATTTATTCTTTTTATAGTAAATATTATATATATATTGATTGTCCTTGTTCTGAGAAAACAAAAGTACTTTAGTCAAAATGGTAAGTACAAATAGGCAGAGGAATAATCTCTCCAATTTTTCTTGAGAGGGCAACAGCATCTGAAGAGCAAGAGACGGAAAAGGGATGCTAATTTTAGTGAATACATTACTACTAAAGACATGTCACTGACAGCCTTTTTGGGCTCCAAAATCCCTTCACTATTTTCTCCACACAAAAAATCATATATTTACCAGCACTGAATCCATCCACCAGGGGATTTCCAATAGGTTGTTTTCACCTAGAAAAACAATCCTATGGAGAACAGTTCCAAGTTGGAGCCTCAGACTGGCATTACAGTTCATTGTGTATCTTGGTGATGTGAACTCTGAAGCAGATACAAACCATAAATAAAAAGGCTTTGCAAATATGAATAAATGGATGTTGGCAGGCTGAGAGATGCTCCTGAAGTCATAAGGAAAGGCACAGAGTGCTGCACTCAGACTCAGAGCTGGACTTCGTGCAGCAGTCCTAGTGTCTGCTCAGTTTAATCCAGAGCGGTTGATTCTGGAAGTCAGCCTTATCAAGTGGCTCCACCTTAGTCACTGTGAGTGGTAATGAACTTTGGCAACATTTTCAAAAAGAGAAGAAGCAGAGTATGAGAAACTACATTGAGTGAGATGGGCCACCCCTCCTCCTCTGACCCTTGATTCCTGTCCGTACACACCCTTCTTCACCATTGAAAACCTTTTGTTTTACCTGGGCTTGTCCCAGGTCTGAAGAGAAGGAGTGTGCACTTTTCCTTTCTTGTTCAGGGATCTTCTCTAGTTTTTTCTGTTGTAACTGCCTTCTGGTCCTATGGCCTACAGATCAAGGAAGGGTGTGACCAAGACTAGACATAGGAGATGCAGGCCAAGGTGGAAATTCTGAGAAGACAGGTGGGTGTAGTTGATAGAATCTGTTCTTTCTGATTTTTAAAAGGGTTTGGGGCAGAGGTCTTGAATCTCCTCCTAACATAGAATTCTCACTTATCATTACAGGACAAACACAACGATCTTAAGAAGTGACTTTGAGCCGGCGCCGTGGCTCACTAGGCTAATCCTCCGCCTTGCGGCCCTGGCACACCGGGTTCTATTCCCGGTCGGGGCGCCAGATTCTGTCCCGGTTGCCCCTCTTCCAGGCCAGCTCTCTGCTGTGGCCAGGGAGTGCAGTGGAGGATGGCCCAAGTCCTTGGGCCCTGCACCCCATGGGAGATCAGGAGAAGCACCTGGCTCCTGCCATCGGATCAGCGCAGTGCACTGGCTGTAGCATGCTGGCCGCGGCGGCCATTGGAGGGTGAACCAACGGCAAAGGAAGACCTTTCTCTCTGTCTCTCTCTCTCACTGTCCACTCTGCCTGTCAAAAAAAAAAAAAAAAAAAAAAAAAAAAGAAGAAGAAGAAGAAGAAGAAGTGACTTTGAGGGGCCAGCACTGTGGAGTAGCAGGTAAAGCTGCTGCCTGCCCTACCAGCATCTCATACGGGCACTGGTTAGTGTCCCAGCTGTTCCACTTCTGATTCAGCTCCCTGCTAAAGGCCTGGGAAAGCAGCAGAGGATGGCCCAAGTGCTTGGGCCCCTGTATCCATGTGGGAGAACTGGAAGAAGCTCATGACTTCTGGCTTCAGCCTGGCCCAGCCCCGGCCACTGAGGCTATTTGGGGAGTAAACCAGCAGATGGAAGATCTCCCTTTCTTTCTCTCTGTAACTCCGCCTTTCAAATAAATAAATAAAATCTAAAAAAAAAAAAAAAAAAAGAAGAAGCGACTTTGATTGAGTTTGCCTTCATTTCATAGTTGAAGGGCAACTAAGCCAAAACAAGGTCTTGGTCTTGGTTCGTGGTCTCACTCAAAGACTGCCAAGCATTTCTAGATAATGTGGGCAGTTTATTAATGGCACATAGTAATGTACCCCCTCCAAACTATTGGAAAAAACATCTTCATGTTTTTTGTAAAATCGTAATGTCAGTTTTAAAAGGTGAAGTACTTGTTTTTTTCTTTTTATTTTTTTTTTGACAGGCAGAGTGGACAGTGAGAGAGACAGACAGACACCCTCCAATGGCCGCTGCGGCCGGCGTGCTGCGGCAGGCGCACCGCGCTGAAAAAGGTGAAGTACTTTTAAAATACCCAAAGTACAGCTACAAAATGTAAATTTAGTTTCCCATTTCAATTACCAAATTCCTTCCCTACCCAAACAAAATACAGCAAACCCTCCCACTGAGAACAAAAAGAATGTGTGAAAACTATAATTAATGTAATTGCTACTGGTGCTTCTCTATGAATAAATGTAGAATTAAAAAAAAAAAAACATCTGTCCTAGTCCTCTATATTTGCACATAAATACATCTTCCCACATTCCCCTCCAACATCAATGACCATTTAAAACAGTATTTTCAGAATGATACGGTAATAAAAACAAAATTATTTTGCAGCTCTACAGGAATTATATATCCTAATGTGATGACAAAAACATTCAGAACTACCTCCTTAACAAGCAAAAGGAAGGCCCGCACTGTGGGCAGCGGATTAACGCCCTGGCCTGAAGCACCAGCATCCCATATGGGCGCCGGTTCTAGTCCCGGCTGCTTCACTTCTGATCCAGCTCTTTGCTATGGCCTGGAAAGGCAGTAGAAGACAGCCCAAGTCCTTGGGCCCCTGCACCTGTGTGGGAGACCCAGAAGAAGCTCCTGGCTCCTGGCTTCGGGTAGGCGCAGCTCTGACCATTGTGGCCAAATTGGGGAGTGAACCATTGGATGGAAGATCTCTCTCTGCCTCTCCTCTCTCTGTGTAACTCTGACTTTCAAATAAAATAAAATAAATTAAAAAAAAAAAAAAGTAAAAGGAGAAAGTAGATACCAAATAATTTTCTGTCAGTGATACAGGCTTTCATCAATCTACAATCTCAAGGTTGGATACATCTGAATGAGAATACAAACTTGGTTTCAAACTACCTAAGAATTAACATTCATAAATCACATTAGTATATAATAAATACCTTAAACACCACCAATGTCATTGTGAAAGCATATGTCAAACTTGTCACTACTATTCCTCATGGAGTAAACAAGTGATGTTCCCTGCCTGCTCATTGAGGTTTGGGTTCCATAATAAGAACTGTAATTTAGCGACCAGGTATACTTTATGTAAAGGCATTTACATGATATGTCACATTTCATCTTCACAATTCTCTTTTACAAGCATTCTGAGCATAATTTTACAGAGGAAAAAGCCAAGTACAGAGAGCTCAAGTGACTTATTTTAGCCTGCAGAGCCAGGAACTGGCAGAGTTTGAATAC